ATTTTAACTTATTTAGTCTTTTCTTTTTCTTCTATTCTGACAGTTTAAGTGGCTCATCTTCCATATAAACAGATTGAAATAATGCTTAAACAATACTTTTTCAGTTAGATAATTAGATATATTTATCTTTGAGTCCTAATTTGAAATTCTGTGGCATCTATATTCTACACAATGATAGGCAATATTTCTGACTCCATGCAATATTTACCAGGGAAAAGTAGCAGTGAGATTCAATATTAAGATGGCACTGTTTTTTAATACTGTAACAGTTATATTTAGGGTACATTTGGCAAAATAGACAGGATTATATTTGGATACACTGTGCGCTATACTTTTGAGTTAATCTACTTGGTACAGACATGAATGTATGTTTTTATGTAGATGCAATAATGGCATTGGACTTGGTTTACAAAGCTCTTTGAAAGGTCCAGATTTCATGTTGATTCAGTCAATAATTATCTCTAAACTATGATTTTAGTCTAGCACTTACCTAGTACAGTTTTTGTTCAGCCCACCTCCATACAACTCCTTCACAGATTCACTGTATTTGGAGCACATGGATTAAAAGACAACTAGGTGTCTGGGTGTTCTAAATTAAATCCTCCCATGCACAACCATGAACACACATGTACAGTAAAAAATGTGTAAAACCATGACCTACCTTTCTCCTAGAAGTGTTCATAGATTAATTTTTAGGTTTTCCATGTTATAATATACATCTATACATCTGTTCTTGACCAGAAAATGTGTTAGAAGATAGACCATGGGGAAAAAAAGGGAGATTATATCAATTCCTAGAATTCCATCCAAAAAGGGAGATTATATCAATTCCTAGAATTCCATCCAAAAAATGCTTTATATTGTATGCTATTTTTCTCAGGAACTCAGAATTAAGACATTTACCCAGGGCTAAAATATGCTACAAGAATCTTTGAAAAGGCAAAATGTTATCAAAGTTATAACTACTATTATAAAATATATATTTATATATAGCTTTATACAAGCTATTTTTATAAATATGTGGATTCATGCAGTTCAAAAGTATTTTTATTTATAACTAGGATATTTTATTTCAGAATAACTTGAAACAGTAGTTAATGTGTTTTTATAAGCATCAAAACAATACTTGATATGCAATAAATAGTCTCATAAAGCATAATTATAGAAAATTTAATTACCCAGATGTTTCCTTCTTATGGCTTTAAGAAAGCATCCTCAACATGACCCATATAAACCAGTTACCTCTACCCAAATCATGTGCCATTTCAGACAGAGTGTAATTAGCACTTTATTTTTGGTGATTTTCTTGTTTTTTTCTAAAGTAGCACAAGGAACAACAAGCTGAAAGAGAAAGAACTTCTAGATAGGAACATGTGATAAAAGACAATCTGGCAAGATATTGACATTGAGAGTCCTTTTTTGACTTTATGCATATTTTGTAACACCTACTTTTGCATTTCCTTTATTACATGTATCTTTTTCTTCTTCCTTTCTGATGTGTGATCTAATATTTGACACACAGAAAATGAATAATTTTAGGATAAGGACAAACCATGTTTTCCTTGGGCTTAAGGATACAGACACATAGGGAAATCACCACCCTTGTTAACGAACAAGGTGCCTGCGAAATTAACTAAGATACTCTTATTCTCGTCTGATACAGAATGCATTTTTTGGAACAATGACTTCTGTGTTTAATTATTCTTCATAAGACTTTTTTTTCAAAAACTTGAAATTATTTGTTGTGAAGATACCACATTTGTGCACAGGGACAAGTTACTATGGTTTATCACACAAAAGTATCAGGAAAACATTGCACACTAGACAGTGTCCTCATGTAAATTTGATCCTTTGTAATAATTTATTATGATGGAATCCTAAAGCATCAGTGTCTGATAGAGCTTGTGGGCACAGAAAGAGCACTGTACTTCAAGGACAATGTGTGTTCAGAGAGAAAAGAGTTTGGCACATTTTTGTTTTCTACAGCAGTTCTTCCTAGCAGAGGTTTTAAGTGCAATATAATAATGAAATTCTTTAAGCATAGAATGTGAATTTACTTTCCCTTCCTTCAGACCGAGGTTGCAAAGAATTGCAAGGACAAATTTACATTTAAAATTACTTAGAGCCAAAATTGGTATTGCTTCATTATTGGTGGATAAGTTTTATGTATTGGGGTCAAGTATTTTAACAGTGAAATGATCTTATCTAGGAGCACTCAGAAACCTGACCTGGCCATTGTGTGGTCCACTGACTGTATCAGAGGTCGAAGATCCTAATTACCACTACACCTAAGTAAATGCCTAAATGTCAATTGTAGGCAGCTGAAATTTAAAAAAAGGTCAAAGCGTCTGGGATGAAAAATTTATCATAATATGGTGATGCAAGTTTTAATATGCAGAAGAATCTACACAATCATCAGAGTATGCTTGTCTTCCAAAATCCACTGATATCCAATTAACAATGTGAATAGAAGTTATAGCTAATGAAGTACCTACAGGAATAATTTTTTCAATGGTCTCTACATCTTAATAATCTCTGAGCAATCAAGGATTAGTATTAAAGTATCCAATTCTCTTTGACATACCATCTATGTGATGGGAAGCCTGGAAAACTCTCTCAAGCTTTTACACCTGCAGACTTTTTTTCTATTGCAGACCTCTTGCCTCTGTTAGCAAGAAAAACAAGCTGACCCTCTGGAATGAAAGTGCATAAGAATTTTGTAGGAAGTACAGGAGCCCTTTTCAGGCATGAAGGTTTTGCTAATAGAACAAATTCTCAGTAAAAAGAGTGCAGAGTAAAGCTGACATGCTTGTGCAGACACATTTGCTGTAGCCAAGAGAATAAATAAGTGTTTGTACAGTTCAAATTCTTACCTAGCAACAATTTTGATTTCCTCACGAAATATACACAGCATTTTCATCCTTCAAAGGAATATTGTGATAACTGATGAGATAGCTTACAGTAATAAAATCACAGAAGTGTCATGTTTACAGGTAATGAATTGAACCATGAGCAAATGTTGATATTTAAACATGCATACATATATATATATATAAAATAAACACTAAGAGGAAAACAGATATGGGGAGAGTATTTAAAATATATTTTAACTTTCTATCACTGAAGAGACTGTATTTCACATGGTGGTGGAATGGATTAATTAACAATAAGACCATTGACTGGAAATATTAAGTAACAGGTTTGCAAGTTGTTACTTTGTAAACATGATAAAAATATAGTGACTGTGTTAGGTATTGGCTCCAATAATCATTGAACTATACAGGAACCAAAGGGTATTTAATTCAACTAATAATATTGATCTATTGATTATTGTTAAATGCATTTTTTTTTGGAAACAGAAAAAATTAACTTGATGGCTGAAGGCTCGATCTATGTTTTTAGAGACTCTGAGAAAGCAACTACTGTATGTAATTCTGATGGATAAATTTCATTCTGCTTTTGGACATTGGGAACTAACCAATTGTCCAGTGTATCAAAAGGTTTGAGCAGAATCCAAGGTAAAATTTGGTTCAAACTAGACTAAGTCCGGTGGGAAATTTCTATGCTTTTATTTTATTGGGAACATTTAACTTTCCCATCATTTAAGTTTTCTTTAGGATAATTATTTATTTGTTTCTCCCTTAAGTTTTAGAAAAGTGGGCTTGGGATAAAAAGAAAATGTTCCTGATGATTAAGTTTGCCTGATCTCCCAGTTCATAAATGAAATTGGGTAGGCTTGTTATTGTCTATATTTACTTCGATCTGGACATAAAAAATGGGGGAGGTAAAAAAGATGTTATTGTAGGTTGTAGTCCAAGTACCTATTTTAGACTGAATTGCTCTTACTTTAGGAAATCATGAGATTCCCTGGATTTTTTACTCCACTAGTTGTTACTAAATTGCATTTTTGGACAATGGAAATTGGGATTCTGGTTCCAAAATTTGGCAGTGTTCATATTTCATAGTCCTCTAGTGTTTCCCCTCTGGCCAGGAAGTGTTTCTTGTGTCTGTGTAGCCTCATTTTATTAGGGGGAGGGGAGATAAAAACCTTGCACATTCTCCCTAATCCTATCACACACTAAATCACCTCATTCATACTGACTCCACCAATGCTGCTTTCCCCATTTCCCGAGTTACTTAGCAACAACCCTCCCTCCCTTTTCCATTCTCCCATCCCACCTTTCATTTTTTTCCCCCTTTGCAATCACGATTTCCACACTGTTTAGAAAAATGAGGATGCTCAGCAGCATAGCGCAAGCTTTTCCTTCCAATCTCCTTTTTTATGCCTGCCAAATCCTTCTCAGCTCCAAAATGAAAATCCAGGCTGCCTGCATATGTGTAATCAGAGGTTAAAAAGCACCCTGGCTGACACCACGCATGTGTTAATCTGTGCTGCAGTAGAGTGCATCATTTCCACTTTGACCTCAGTTAATCTGCATTCACGCAGAATCTCCATTGCTTTATTCTTTCTTTTTTTTTCTTTTTTTTTTCCCCCCCCCCCCCCCCCTCCTTTTTTTTTTTTTTTTTTTTTTTTTTTTTTTTCCCCCCCCCCCCCCCCATTTACTCTTTGTTGCTTTATTTTTGTTTGGATTTTGCTGCATGTGTGTCAGCAGTTTCGTAAGTGTGTATGTGCTCCTTTCCTTGACTGTTTTTATTCTGTGAGTGTCTGTGATTTTCGCTTTTTGTTTGGGTTTCATTTTTTTTCCTTTTCTCCCAATTATATTATTCCTCTAGATTTGGAAGCTGCTGCCTGCTGCCTGGGCTGACGTTTTCTGATTATATCTGCAAAGGGCTTGTGCAGATCTAATTTCTCTCCCCCTGCATATTAATTCCTGCAGCTGGGCGCAATGCCTCATCCCACTGACGGGACCTGGTAGGGAGGAGGGAGAACTACTACCAAAAAAAAAAAAAAAAAAAATAAGGAAGGGGACGGATCCATCTGCAACCGAGAGGAAAGGGGGAAAAAAGCTGGGGTGGGGGGTGGGGGGGCTGGAATAGAGATGATTCCTCCAAATCCAACAATCCTGGGGAGCACTGCATTCTTGAATCCTGCATTTTCTCTCAAAATGATGGTGTGGGCACTTCTCTTCCTCTCTCTCATCCAGTGGTAAGATGTTCTTTCTGATTCTGTTTGGGAGGGTGGGGGGAGAGGGAGGGCTGGGGGGTGAAGAATCTCCAAATTTGCTGAGCTGTCGTGAGAATGCCAGAGGTTTAGATAGTGGCATTGCATTCATCTACGCCTAGTAGCTGAGATCTTAGAATGTTTTATTTCTCCTACAATTATTGTCGCTCTGACATGGACAGGGAGGGTGAGCAGCGCGTGTGTGATGGTGGTACATGCCGGGGTGTTCATAGAATTTGGAGCCATATTAATGAAGCCTTTTATTTCTGAATTAATTTCTTGCTCCGGTGCATGGAGTTATACGGCAGCTGTGTTTTGTGGCAGAATGTCCGCTCAATCCTGCTTGTTTTCCCGGAGCGAGCAGCCCCATCATGGCTGTGCGGGGCTGCGCGGCGGCGAGCGCGGGCAGGGCTGAGCACCAAGGACAGGGATGCGGGTCCTGCCCAGCTACCCCGGCTCCGTGCAGCTCCCCGGGGGCCCTCACATCCCCCCGTGTCCCTCACAGCCCCCGGACCCGCACATCCCTCCCGTGCTGGCAGCCGCGGCTCTCCAGGGGCTGCGATAGTTTTCGGGTTCACATGAGCTGAATGTTTCCAACAGCATTTCCCCTCACGCCCGACGCGTTCTGCTGGCAGACACCCGGCGTGTGCTGCATATGTGCATCATGCACCGAAATGGAAAGGGGTAAAAATCCCAACAGCACAGGAAACATGAGTTCATATGTGGATGAGCAGAAAGTGGAGGGCGGGAGAATTGCTGCAGCGCCAGGCTTTGTGCTGGAGCAGACATTCCTGCAAAAATGTGTAGACTGTGCATTTAACAAATTAGATGAGAAGGTATCTCTGCACGGCAAAGTGTGTGGCCTTTCAACTGGCAATAGACTGCTCCCCACAGCTGCATAAGACATGTTGTCACTAATACCTTCGAGAAGTTAGTGCCCACTCTCTTTGCTACTACTAATGCTGGATTCACACAGGCTCCTCAAATTTACCTTCTTTCTCCTTCCTTCCTTTTACCTCGACACTACCATACCAACAAGTGGGTTCTTTCTGGGTTTTTTTTGTTGTTTGTTTCGTTGGTTTTTTTAATTTTTGTTTTTATTTAAGAAAAATCGGACTTTATACCTGCAATTATAGGATCTTAGTTCTAAGCCAAATAAAAGGCCAAAATGATTGGCTGGGGAAAAGAAAAATTGCTAGGTTTTCAAGTAACTTTTTTCACCCAAAAAGAACATTATAAAGAATTCCTCTGAGAAGAAACTAAAAATGGTTGAAAATTGAGTTGAAAATGAGATAAAACTCTATGAGCCTATCATGAGGGTACTTTGATGTTCAGAGTAAGACAGGTGTGAGGTATTTTTGACCTTTATAGAATCAGTTATGGTTACTATCTGAATGCAGAAATAGAAAATTCAATTTTTACAGGATTTTATGACACGGGCTTTCATATTATTTTGACATAAAACTTCCACTAAAATAATCCCAGATACTTATTTTAGCACACTTACTTCTTTTCACTCATCTTTCAGAAAAGCATCGCCTGAGAGGAATTTTGCCAAATTTTTTTCATAAGCTTTAAAAGAAACTCTTCATAATACAACTTAAGATTTTTGTCAGAAAAAAAGTCCTATATTCTGTTCACAACTATCTGAAAGCCAAGATGGTTTTCTCTGACAGCTTCCTGACCTCATAATTTTAAAGACTAAATCATAGACTGAGAAATAATAGCCACAAGTAAAGGGAAAATTATTCTTGGTACTTTACAGAAACATTTTAAATGAGTCAATATGCATATATGATTTTAATTCTAACAATCAGGACATTTTCCTTCCTCTCATTTTGGAAGAAGCCTTGTTATTAGTTTTAGAAACTCAAGGACCAAGACAGAGTTATAAAAGTTAAACTTACATACCATTTATTTATAGCCAAGATGAAAAGTTCCCTCTGTTATAAACTCATCAAACACTTCAGAAGGAGGGTAATATTATTGTATTGTGTGTCAATTTTCTTGGACACTAAAATTCTGAAGGACCAACTGAACACTAACAAAGGTGCTCTATGTTAAACATCTGAATAAATGTGTTGCTATCAATCAGAATACACACAGAAGTTTAAGTATCTGAATCAAAGTAAATATTAGAATCAGAATCTGATCAAAGTAAATATTAATGTTACTGTGCAAAAGTTGAATTTTATTAATATAAAAAAAACTATATAGAGAAATTGTTGCAAAATCATTAATATTTATAAGATTGAAGCAAGAAGAGGAAAGTTAAGACACCACTCAGGCATTAATGGAAGTAGCTAAAATTCTACCATTGACTTCAGTAAATCATGAATGAATTCAGAAAAAATGTCATTTTATAACACTGAGGTATTTTACCTTTACAGAATTTCTATCAGTTTTATTAAATGCAGAAAACACATCCTTACAACTGGGCATGCTAGAGTTTTAGGAAGTGCCTTCTTCCAGTTGGTTTCTCAGCATTCATAACTAGATTTCAAACTTCTTGCATAAAGTTCCCTCCTCATCTTGCCCCTTAGATTAGTGTAACAGCAGTGTGCAGTCCATCACATGGACTTGGAGCTGTGTTCAGGGAAAATTAGTCAGAACAAGCTCCCAATTTCTGAAAATTGTACATTAAAAATCTTCGGATCAAGAGACAATTTAAAATTATTTTTAAAAAATATATTTGTACACATGATGTGGCTTAATTGGAACTAATTATTTGATTGTCCTTATTGAACATATAACATGTATTTAAAATAGTACATGTAATAGAACTCAACAGTAAAGTTTCAAAATTACTTAAAGCTGTACTCTGCACACTATTTATATATGGGGTTTAACAGTTATTTTTGCAGAGCTTTAACAAATTGCCAGCAAAAGCTACATAATACAGTGAAAATTAATGTTCAGATGGGAAATGTGAGTCTTCTTTTTTCACTTGTTTGTGCCCAAGTAGTTTCACAGAAAATTTTTTATGCTCAGCTACATGCCTAAAATTGAAGACTGTCAGGACTGATCAAAAAGACCCCATAAATAAAGCAATCATTTTAGCATCAAAATAGTCTAGTGCCTAAGTGAGTACATGTCTTTATATTGGTAAATTACTGAACATGGGTGTAAATAAGATTATTTTGCTCTTGTAAATGATGCAATATAAAAACAAGGATGAAAATAATATCCTTCAGATGGACAGTCACTTAGAATTACCGTAAAACTTGTTCATATCAGTTTGGAGTTAATCCTGCAGCTATAGTAATTCATACACTTCCAATGCTTTCACACAGTGTATAACACTAACACTAAGCCAGAGGTCCCATTACTGGAATAGGTAGTTGCTCAGCAAGAGACAATTCCTCATCTCACAAGGATTGGTCTCCTTTAAAGAAGATGATATAATAGATGTGGATCTAAGTGCTATTAAAAGATGACTTTACCCTTATCTATGATACCATGAAACTGAATATTTTATATACTCCAATGTTTGTATCAGCAGAGCTAAAGCTGTGTAGACACAGGACCTGCACTGCTTGAGCATGTCAGGGGAACAAGTTCTGCCTATGTGTTTTTCATAGCCATGCTGCATTCCTGACTGCTATGAGCTGTAATGCTGGCACATAAACTTAGAACAACTATTACTGTCATAAAAAGAGTACCAAAACTAATGACCTAAAGTAGATTTGAAAATTAGGTTAAATTCTATTATTAATAACATGATGAGGCAAAAAAAGACTACAATCACTGTTTCCCCACTTGAAAATACATGATTTAGGACTATGGATGCAATGCTTTAACTAACTGTAGTGATTAAACCACCTAAACATAACCTGCATGCCAAAACTCCTGTGTTCCAAAATATTCCAATGAGTATGGAAAGCAATGTTAGATGTCTTTCAGAAAGTTTGAATCTTTGAAAATACAAGAAGTGAAAGCTGGTAATAAAAAACTATAGAAACTAACTAAAGTAAAAATATATTAGGAAATTAATCTGCTCTTTTAATATAATATTTTCCATTTTATTCGTATTATATGTCTTTTTCATGACCATCCAAATCACGCTTTAAGGTCCTTAGGGTTTAAAATGTTCATGACTAATGGTAATCTGGAAAAGGTATCTTGTTGTTTTGGATTGTGTTTGCATTGTTCATTTATGCTGCATTGGCTCTATTGACATACGTCACTAAATTCTGTAACAGTTGCACAAAAATTTAAAAGGGAAGAATAGGAGTGACTGGCTGAAACAGAAAGAAACAAGTATCTTGTCAAGGGGAAGTCTTTCCAAGTTTCAGTCCTAGTACAATTAAACTCCTATATGCTTAATGACGACCACTTTCTCCAATAAAGAATTGAATTGTGAATTGAATAATGAATTATTAAATTACTAGATAAAGCATTAGACATAGGTGACAAGTAACAGATGCACATACTTACGGGATGGTTGTTTTTTTACAGTACCGTGTAGACATACATTCAAGTAAGCTCTAAAGCAGAGACAGTTTTAAGGTCAATACCTCTGCCTGGAACTGTTCTGCAGAGAGAGATGCACTGCCTCATTTGAAGCTGGCTCAGTACCCTTTAGCCTTCCCCTTGTTACAGTGAACATCAGCTACTCCAGCTGTAAACATTATATGTATTCCTACATATATATTCCTACATTCTATTAGGGTGATCATTTGATTGCTTATTTTTTAGCATTCATCAGGATAACTGGAGTGTATTGAGGTTCTCTGTTGGTGCAGTCTGAACTGAAGCTTTGCAAACCATTGTATCTGCAGCCCCACTCACAGAAAACTTTAATGGAGAAAAAGAGGTTGCTTGTGTGAAACTGGCAGTGACTTGTAAAAGACTGCAAGTGAAGGACAAAGTGGAAGCTGGGGGCTTGACTAATGTGAATTCAAGCTCAGAAAATCACAGAATCACTGAAACATTATGGTTGTAAAGGACCTCTGGTGATCATCCAGTCCAACCCCCTTCCAAGG